TATTCATCATATCACCGCCCCTTGTGGTATGCAATAATCCTGACACTATCATATTGTCACGTGTATTAGTGACTAAAGACGGGGTTAGGATTGGGAATTGGATTTATTAACCACCTTAAGGTTGTAACTACAATTAATTATTACACTACTGCTGATTTACACAATTTAAAAACACTCCACACTAATCTTCTCAGTCTAGCTGCACTAGTCCTCATGGATTTATAACCTTGGAACTATGAAAGTCTCACTAAATCACACGCTAAATCTTCACAGACTGACTTCCTGTGCTCTTCTTCAACTAGATACTTCCAAGGTTCTTTATTAGAGTCCGTCACAACACAACAATACAATGGTCAAGGCTAAAATTAGCTTAGCTACATGTTTCGGCTATTAAAGCCATCATCAGGCAAACACATGGTTACCATATTCACACACTACTGAACTGCAAATGCGATGGTAAAGCTGGATACTTGATAATACATTATAAAATACATGGTATGAAAGTACAATGAACTATAAACTTATTAAAACGAAAGTTATGACATAAAATAAGGTTAGAACTCTTCATGTGATACTCTATATCATCAAGTCAGTTTGTTGCAATTTTGTTATATTCCCGCGGACATAGTGGTATATTCTAGACTTCTATGCATATAGTAAACTGCTTGGAGGTCCGTGGTATAGATGTGATATAGTTTTAACGTTAATTGTTTAGTCGGTGCCTCATCTTACAGTGTACGAGTATTTGTCCGTTCTGTAGGGAATATAGAATGCAACTTTCCGTGGCTATCTCCTACCGAGAACTGACTCGTCCCTGAACCGAATGAATTGTCTCACTTATATAGCCGAGGAAGGGACTCGCAACAGAGGAAACACATGTCACCTGACCACCACCCACCGCTTCATGACGTCACCTCGAATACGGGAAACGCAACTTCCTCTATTGTTGCGTATTGGACCGTGTTTAGAGCTGCTGCCTAGCAACGAGTTGATCAAACTCGTTACAGTGTCGTCGGTCGTTTAATCTAAAGAATTCATCTTCGACCAGACACTTCGCTTGTCACAGAGGAAGGAAGTTAAACTGTCATCATTGCCTTTTCTCTGTATTAAATGTCGTCAAGAGGTGAATCTTATAATTGCATTCTGTTTGGCAATTAAATAGACTGACCCACGTCTTAAAATTTGTTGCCTCAAAATCCTAAAGAAGAACTCAAAATTTGGACTGTCAATGTCAATAGGCCTTTTGTTTTAATTGATGTAAATCGGTCACTAGGAATTTCCAGCTGCATATGCTTTTAAAGTTACTCTAACATTGATAGAGAGTATGAAGTGGAGTCGATTGGATTTCTGTTAACAGCAAATGCAACTGGAAGTTTCTGTGGAACGAGAACTGGCCGCAAGGAAAAGATGGCCTCGGCTATACACAACAAATAGGCTTATATTTCTATCATGCTTTTGTGAAAATTACGCTGTAGCATTTAAGTAAAGTCATAAAAACTGGCCTTAAAATATATGAAGAATTCTCATTACTTTCGAGGAAACATACGTCGTAATGCAGTCGTACATTGGCTACGGATATTTACAGCAGACGAAGCACGAGAGACTGCGGGGTTTTTCGTCTTTGTACATTTGGTTAGGAATTTCACGTACCCTGCCATTTGCGGAGTACTAAACATTATTCTCAAAATATTAAAAATGATATAAGAATATTTCAATTATAATTACAATATTGAAACTCTAATCACCATTGTCTGCCTGTTTCGTCATTGCAACTATAAAACCCTTATGTAAACATAGAGTCAAGTATTTGCGCTTGGTACACAGAAATCAACGGACTGTCCCCCGAAAAATACGTCACCAGACAAGAAACTCTGCCAGTATCAGATGCCAGTACTTAATAATGTATGAATGCCTCAAGGCCCTTTGATTCAGTTCTGTAAGTGAAAGTCGATAAGGGCTGAAACACGGGAAAGAGACTTGGGAAGTAAATCCAAAGAGCTGCACGTAATATGGCAATAAATCATAGGAAGACACAACATGTCGTGGAAACAGTCTGTCTTCAAAGTAAAATAATTCATAATGTTGCTTTATAAGAAATGGTGACCTCGAATTTAGTGTTACCGTAACTTATTGATCATTCCCACCAGCATTAATATAGGTCTGTGAAAATATCAAATTTTTATGTTGCTTTAATGTATAATTAAAAGCGAGAACTTAACGTTTTATGTAACTGCTTGAACGTCGAATCTTTTGAACACGGTAATGTTCATGTCCAGTAAAGTGCAGGACGTTTCTTCAGTAGCTGCGGGACATTGGCTTCACAACTCCACCGAATTACGTGGTACGGATGTAAACGCGGCTGCTATTGCGCTAAGATGCCGGCGTTTTGTCCAGCTTTTACACTGGGGGCACACACTCTTTACGTTCTCCCTCCTGGCGATCCTGACACATTGAATGTAGAAAGCAAACACTGCTGGTCGAACCCAGTAGATAGATTGAGAATATTGGAGGCCCCAGGTCAGGACCTGGAACAGAGTTGGGATCAGATCTGGGATATTTTAATCACCACTCGATAGCGACACGTGTTTTATGATGATGACTGTCATGAAAATGAGTCTGTTATTCAAAAGCTATATATACCTTTATTGCATGTTAACTGATATGTCAGGTACAAAATCTAGTCTGCTTCCTAGCTGATACAGATTCCCTGTGCTGGACATAAGGGAAACGTTTTTTGATACTGAAAAAGTAGTATAAGTTACTCTGCCCAGTCTGCTGGATGTACTGTGTGCTTTATGAGAAATTAACTGTAGGTTACTGGCAACGGAATGAGTAGTTAACTCAGTTTTGTCTATTTTAATTTATGTAAGTTATGGTTTGAACAGTTAAGCAGTTATTTGTTAAAGCAGAGGTAAATTGTTGTAAGGAAATACGTAAATGTGGTGTAAACAAATGAAAAGTAGAACCGATAGAAACGGGGAAAAATTGTAAGACCCTACTGTTAAAGAAAGGATGATTTCCGAGGAATGTCTACATAGGAAATCCAGGTCAGTGATGTAATTACTCCTAAATTAATTGCTACCTTCTGCGAGAGATGGGAAGAAACCGTAAACAGAATAATGCTGAAAGCAGATGACCAAGACGCACAGAATTATAACTCTGGAAGGTAAAGACTAAGCGGAAAATCAAGGAGCGACTGGAAAGAGAAACTTCTGACAGATGTAGGCGATTAATTTCCAGCTCCATGAGGAGAAGAAGAATACTTTAAAGCTTATAGTGATCTACGTAACTCAAAATATAGTGAAACACTTCCCATTCGTAAACATAAGATTGTTTCATAAGCGAGAATGTGCTTGTGATGTCTGAGATTGCCATAGCGGAGAATATGACTGCTGTGTATACCGGGTTGTGACGCTGTGCAGTTTGCTAGAAATGAGGAACGTACTGCCTTCATCTTCGGGATCAAGATATCGGGTTTCTAATTTTACACCTAAGTACATTTTACATCGCAGAAGATGGATCTTCGACAACTTTCTTGTTCGTTACGAAAAACAGACAGGAATGAGATATACATGGATACGGGAGTGCGCCGATGTCCTTGCATTGATGGTCCATTATGCGTCCCCGACCTTTGTCCTATTACCAGACCTGCATTCTGTATAAGCTGAGTTAATTTGCTGATTCGGGCCCTATGATAGTCACTGGCCCATCACAGTGGCCACTCGGTGTAAGGCATGAACTGTCTACGCCCGCCCAAACGCTCGGATCGTGGGTGGAAGTTTGTGTCCCTTTATTCTGTTTGTCTTGCCCTGTATAGGTAGCTGCCCCCGTCCAACGAGTCCTACCGACTGTGTATAGGATTAAGAAACTGAAGTGAAACAACGCGTTTCAGGGATGTCCTGTGCTCCGGAGTGGGAGCAACAGGAAATAGAAAAAGAGAGATAATTACTGAGGTTACAACATTAACTCCGAAGTGACAGTATGAATCCCGCAAGAAGGCATTATTCCAATGAAGCAAATATTTTAATTAGTATCGTAAAATTAATGGAACGTTATATATCATTCGGTGTCCTTATTATGTTGCTAGGCAATTCGTATGTGTCCGCCTTTGGCTATACGTCGGTATCAAAATAACAGGCCCAAAACGCTTATAATAATTGGGCTGGCTTTGATATCAGAGCTGATTTCTTATCAGTATATGTTTCTGTTCCTGTGGTTCTGTATGGGTGTGAAACTTGGTCTCTGACATTAAGGGAGGAACATAGACTGAGGGTGTTTGAGAACAGGGTGTGGAGGAGAATATTTGGACCGAAGAGGGATGAAGTGACAGGAGGTTGGAGAAAACTACATAATGAGAAGCTTCATAACTTGTACTCTTCTCCAAGTATAATTAGAATGATCAAGTCAAGGAGGGTGAGGTTGGCAGGACATGTAGCACGAATAGGGAGACGATGAATGCGTATAGGGTACTGGTGGGAAAGCCAGAAGGAAGGAGACCACTGGGAAAACCAAGGCGTAGGTGTGTGGACATTATTAAAATGGATCTTAGATAGGATGGGATGGTATGGATTGGATTGATCTCGCTAAGGATAAGGAAAAATGGAGGGCTCTTGTGAACATGGTAAAAAACCCTCGGGTTCCGTAAAATGCTGGAATATTTTTGAGTAGATGCAGATTTGGCTTCTCCTCAAGAAGTGCTCAGCTCCATGAGGAAGGAACTAAGTATGTTTGTATTTGAAACTTTGCTTATAAACTTGACATAAAATTGCATTCAATGCTCATATTTCCGCACGTGTCAAAAGCATAACGTTCATAGATAAACGTCAAGTATAGAAAAAACCCCACAGTAACGGATCTAAGCAGTAAATACCCTACTGGGTGAAAGGCTGGAAATTTTCAGCCACTCACCTTTGTTCGACACTTGTTTTCGTTGAAATTAGTATATTAACACATCAATTGCAGCAAAAGCAATAATTATTGCTGATGTGATTGTGTTGCAGCCGGAGCTGGAGGCGTGTCGACGCGTCTCAGCGTGGCGTTCTGCACCGTGGCCATTGGCATTGTCATGAGCAGATAAATCATCGCCATCTGCTTGTGAATCCCAGCGCTGGTTCCGTGGATACCCCCCCCCCTCCAGTGTCTGCCAGTCAACGAAGACATGCAGTCACTCTTCATCAGCTGTGACTGGGCAACTTGCGTGGCGATACCTGTACGACCAGCAGGGAGTTCATTGGATCTTCTCTTCTTCGTGGGAGACTGAGAGACCTACGTAAATACGTTCTGCAGAGATACTAACCAGGATTACAGTGTCCGGGCTTCCAAATGGAATTTTAGTATTATTATTTCACCCAAAAAAAATTGTGTATACGTGACTAACCCAATAGTTTCATCTTAGTATTATGTTTGTTAATCGCGTATATTTGGCTTTTCATTACAGATATAGCACGTGCTATGTTCTCGCACAAACTGTGGTATCCCAGTTAAAATGTAAGTATCTTAGAACTCTGGAGCCGTAGTCTGTATGTCCATTATTGCCTTTTCTGTTACTAAAATTTATGATATGTAAATAACCGAAGACCCTACAATAAAAACAGAAGAATAACACCGTCAGTGTTACGAACTACTGTATATGTTGTGGAAGTAATATACACTGCAGATCACGTTTCAGCTGTTTACTATAACATTTATCAGTGTATAAATATGTGCGTAAATTTCTCAGTAAAAGGCAGTACGTCAAGATCCTTGAGCGATTTCACGAAGGTCTATTGTACATCAACTCCTACGTGTAGTGATGCCGAGATACTATAAAATATTAAAAACTCTTTAGCGCCCACAAGCCTTGAAGTGGAAATAGTACCCCAAGGCAATACCATTCGAATTGAAGCATTCTTTGGCCCTCATTAAGCTCAGGATAGCTTGCTGAGTGTGTAAACAACGCTTCAGTTACTAGCTGCAGTCAACGAACCAGCGAGATCCCAATTAACGTATACGTCGCCAATACCTCACAGTGTCAAACAAGACTGACGAACTGCACCTTAGGAACAGTGGCCAGGCAAGGGTGACAGAGAGGTCTGCCCATTCATGTGCGGGGCAGTGCTTCAAGGATGAAACGTTATTTTGTGCGGAAGAAAATTAAACCAATGAGCTTATCCGATGGTAGGTCCTGTAAAACCATTATTGTAATGTGAGATAATAAATGTAAGGCCCAAAATACAGGGAACAATCACATGAAAATAGACCACGAGCCATGATCTTTAGATGTTTTCACAAGAAGATGAAATATTACGGTATATAAATGCCATATCTGTGTAATGCGTGCCGATGTGCTGATGAAATGCAGACTCTGGAGGCCCGTCTTCTAGGAGGTAACGCCGCGTAGTCCTTGGAAGTCAACAGACGTTTCGGATGAGTATGTTGTGTCTATCTTCAGTAAGCTCTTCTTGCCACAGGCTTCATGCTGGGTTCTTTCTTGGATTATTCTTCGACGCTAAAGATGATGGCGACATGTTCCTCTGAAACGTCAGTTGACTTTCGGCGAACTGCGCCATGTTATCTCAGGAGAAACAACTCTTCATGACCACCGCTGTGAGAAATTTAAACACTGCATTGAAGTATTTTTTCTTTATATTGGGTCAATTTTCATGTGCCTGTTAAATTATGATCGTGTATATGTTGAGTAAAATATGAAGAATGTCGTCATAGACCGGTGAAATATTCAAATCCCAAACTGTATTTAACGAGATAATCGAACTGTACCGCATTGGAATTAACATAATTCATTTTCTTTCAATGGTGTTTTGAGGATAAACTTTTTTATGAACCACAGGTCACAACGTTTACATGGATTATTGTTTAACGAAGACATGTGTCAAGATTCAACTGGAAAACGCAAAATATTCTGAGCTTGAAGAATAGTAGTCATTTGATTTGTGTTCGTATATGGGGAGAATGTTTAATCTCTGACAGACGAAGGACTACTTTGTGTGCCCATTCCCAGAGCAGCGCATGGCAGTGACACGTGACGAATCGTTGCAAGAGGTGTTCCCACTGGAGCTACAGCAGTTCCTACAGGTCCGCCCCGAGGTGTAGGTGCTTCGTCTCACAGGGTTATGACCCATGGAATTGGTGCAGGGGCACTTGCCATCTCCTCCGTAGATGGGACCACAGCAGTCTCTTGGAGATCCATCCCTTCACATTACCGTCATGCTATTGAGTCGAGGAGGCCCAGAGGGCTCACCAGGTATCATAGGGCCACAACATTATATTAAGAGCCACAACATCCTAGTGCATATTAATTTGGATACATGTGACAAAAGAAAACTAAGCTAAACCAGTTACTTGTAACAAAGTGGACTTGAATTTATCTTTCTTGCTGCCATGAAGGAGGCAGCTTTGAGGTTCGAATGTTTACTGATCTGTATCACACGTAGGACTCACAATGAATTCCATAAGTATACAGTTTCTGTATGTGGGACTATTGTATTTTAAATGCGTTTTTGAACTCTGAGTAACGTATGATAGGTAACATCAGAAAATGTAAAACATTTTCCAAGCAAGTGAAAGGAAGCACTGATTATTAGAGAGGCCACTATCAATAACGATTATCCGGTCAATAATGACATAGCTTAATATTGTACATAAACCACAACATATACACATCAGAATTACCTGAAAGCATTTTGTAAGCCGGAAATAAGTTAGCCTGCCAGTGTACAGGAAAACTGGCATTCCGTTATATAACCATAAGTACCCATGTATTCCGTGTGCTCATTGTGTGGACAGAGTGTCTATGTACATATAAATATAGGCTGCCCATTTTATACATAGGCCTATAAAATTATATAACATGTAAAACTCAAGTACGCCATTTTACATAAACATGATAAAATTAACATACAAAAATTATCCTACAGACTCTAGACGTGGTTACGGTGTTGATGATGAAAAAGAACTACATATAAGATGTATTTTTTGTGATGTTAACAAATGTGTACTTTGCGCATGCATGGGGTCGGAACAAATGAATTTCGTTTTGTATGCATGATGACGTGTTCACGGGCTCAAGGTACATCTTATTTTCGCATACGACTGTGCAGCAAACTTATTTTGGCGTCTCAATGACAAAAAGAACTGCTTCAAGTGATCCATATATTGTAAGACCGTCAGATATCGTTTATAATGTTACGTTACAGATGTACAAGATGGAATAGAATATAACCTTAAATAAAGTGATAATAGCAACTCAGTGACGTCAGCCACCCCATCAATCTTGCCCCTTTTTTCCTAGTTCCATTCTAATCTTCTTTGTGGTGGTGGTGGTGGTGGTGGTGGCAGCAGCAGCAGCAGCATTAGTAGTAGTAGTACTAGTGACAATCAGTACTAAAGAGGTAAAAATATCTTTTCTCTCAGTTTGAGAAATATGCCATAACAGCATATAGGGAGAAGTAACACGCAACCAATATTAACTGAAGGTGAATGAACCGAAACCTTGACAGTCAACTATTAAAACAAGTAGTGGAAAAAATCACTTCACACGGGTTACATAGATGATACTCTTCTAATGTACGACAGCAGTAACATCACATCTGAAACTGCAGTCTGCTTGTACCGGTTCTCACAGTCTCTTCGCTTGCGGATTTTCTTATTTTTCCTTCTACCCTGAAGATGGAGGCGATGCGTTCCTCCGAAACGCCGGTTAACACCACATCTACACGGTTCCACATCCCAGAAGACTGCTTTCTTAATAGCAGGTAACATTCATAAAGAGCACATCGCATTGAAATGTACTATGACACAATGAAGAAATAACAATATAGCTTACTTGGATTTAAATGTAGTTAGTTAGTTATTTAGAGAGGGTGGGTTTCCCCCTGCACCGCGACCAGTTTGATCTATTGTGCTTCCCTCTATGATATTCTACCAGTCTCTTTACCCTACCGATAAATGGTGCGTACCATCAGTCCCGCCGAGCAAGCGAGTTCGGCCACTTGCTTAGCGGTGTCTATAATGCTTCCCCCATCTATCAGAGGCCTTAGAGACTATTGTTGGGCGGGAAACGTCCTGGAATTTGGCTCAGTGATCTCCTTTGGGGATATGAGGTTCTTTTACGTGCCGTAAAGTTACGACGGATTTAAATGTAACAAACAGACAACATAACACAGAAATAGATATTTGTCGAAAATATATAACTACCGACACTATAATAAACAATAGTCATACCACACGGGAGAACATAAAACAGTCACATTAAAAAATATAAGCCAGATTATATAGCTTAACTTTACGCCATAGAAGTAAGAGAGAGGAACTAAACACTAGCATCACTACAGCAAATATAACAGAGAAAATAACAATACTTCATGATTAAATAGAAAACTAAACTAGCATTATGAAGATCATCATCCAAAACGAAAGTATGTCACTTTCTTATTTTCACCTGTTTGGTGTTACGCGTGACGAAAATAACGGGTTCTTCTTCGGATGGTTGGATTTATTATCACTTCGTTTACCCTGTTTCTCTTAATTACAATTAATACAACGCTATCGCTGATTTACACACACTCCAGTTCACCGTTGTACACGCACTAGGATTGTCCGTCTTCACTAGTCTCCTGGCAACGGATCTCGTCACAGCAACTAACGCTTCTTCTTAACTCACTCTGTCCTCTGCCCTCTGTTCTCTGTCCTATTCTGTGCTCAACTGCTCCTAGCTTCTACTTCGCTCCTCCAGCTTATGAGTCACGGCAAACGACTTTTGTTGCCCCAGTAATCCTTCACGGACCTACAGAAAACAGGTTACGTGGTTTCTATCCACTGTTGTGTGACGTCACTGCCTACGCGGAAGTATGTTTACTGAGCCGTTGCCTAGAAACGGGTTGCATAACCCCGCTGTTCCATTGTTGCGAGCGTGTATTACTACAACAAAGGCTCTTCCTATGGCTTAACAGTTCTTGCACGGAGTAAATACTCCACAATATATACAGGTAATTACATACATAACATCACAGAACTAGTCAAAACACAAACGCAAAAATTGAATTGAAAACAATCACAACAATGGCGTAACATACACAGCACCTAGCACTGATGAACAAGTCGCTACTGATACGTGCAAACTAACATACAATGACTGCAGAAAATCATATATCGAACACAACTGGCAGATCCCTAAGTTAGGTACAAAGAACACACTTCATCTCTGTTCGGTCTAATTATTGTCCTCAACACCCTGTTCACAAACATCCTCAATTATGTTCCTCCCTTAATATTGGCTACAAGGTATCAAACCCATACAGAACCAAAGGCAGAATTATAGTTATTTATGTTTTTGACAGCAGACGAGAAGACAAAACGTTCTGGACTGAATGCTGGCAAGCGTTACAAGAATTCAATCTCCTCTTAATTTCTTCCTGAATCAAACTTTGATTTGTTGCTGTCGTTCCCAAAGGTCCGAAATGTGTTACATTTTCAAAGCGTCTGTTACCTTTCTTTATGTCACGATTTTGCCCTGCATTCTGGTGACGAGACAGCAACGTAATTAGTTTTCTCTGCGTTTCCTTCTAGACCAACCTCCTTACTAGGCCACGCCATGGCTCAAGCGGTTAGTCGCTGGCTTCCCACCTCGGCGGCCCGGGTTCGATCCCAGGTATGGTCAAGTGGGATTTATGGTGGACAAAGTGGCGCTGAGGCGGGTTCTGTCCGAGTACTTCGGTTTCCCCTGCCAATCTTAATTTCACCAATTGCTCCATCATCATAATCACCCGGGGCAGGCTACAATAGACCAATCAGTGGCCGCCGTGCCGAGTGGACCCAGTTGGACTCCACCCCCACTAAGCGAATTAAAAAAAATTGTAACCTCCTTACTAGAGTCAATTAAAGTTTGTGTGTTTTATTTATGAATGGAAGATATGATATACAAAATTGAGGACGATATTAACTCGCGGTCTTAATAAAGTCTGTTACAGATGGTGGTTCTTGCTCCTTAAAATTTAATATAAAAATATCTCGTGTTAAGATTAGAGATCCGTTTCAGGTTCCAGTCGTGCTTGCCTGTAGTAAAGGCATTCTTCGTGCACATCTTGTTGGTGGTCCCAAAATCTGATCTAGCCGTTCTGACGAGATACTGCTACTACTGTAAACAGCACTCACTACTACTGCTACTACTACCAACAGCACTCACTATTACTGCTAGTACTACCAACAGCACTCACTACTACTGCTACTACTACCAACAGCACTCACTACTACTGCTACTACTACCAACAGCACGCTACTACTACTATAAACCGCGCA